TCTATGGGCAGAAATTCAAATGAGAGGGAAAGCTATGAAACAGATACAGGAAAAGGATGCTAAATTTAAGGGACAGAGCCATGTGTTTATTTTTCAAGGACTGGGAAAATATCTTTAATAGAGTAAATCCTTTCTAGTTATTTCCATGTCTTTGGTGCACAAATGACCTCGCCATGGGAGTTCACAGAATCTAGATTGAGTTCAAATACCTTTGATTTCTTGACTTCTCTTTTCATTTAGTTGTCCCTTTGAACAAGAGCCAGATGTTTCTGATGGTGTTACAAATATGTTTACCCATGTGGTAGATGAGGTATTGGAAACCTAGGCTCTGCCTATTGAACGAACAAGCTTGTACTGAAAGATTTAGTCTTTGGATCCTGTTGGAGCTCAAACAGATGAATAAAAACAACCCCCAATTGTAATTTTCTAACCTTGAGTCAATAAGCTTAAATATAGTCAGGGATGGCATTTTAAAAATTTATGCATTTTTAAAAATTCAAGTTGTCTTCAACTTTTTAAATATTCCAGACTAGATTCTGTGGGGAGAAGAGACCATGACTTTGAATTCCATGTCTCCAAGACACATTTTACAAACACTCATCATTAACTCATTGCCCTCTGTGGTATCCAGAATGCCTCTCCAGAGACCTAGGCCATTTGGAGAAACATCAAGGACCTAGAGCCTAGTGATACACTTAAAAGAAAAGATGACTTAAATGAGACTGATACCCTCTGTGTTCTCGAGACACTGTGTTCTCAGTCCCATATAACTGCTCTCTCCATCCAAGTCATTTTCCCTCTGTTTATCCAAACAAAATCAGCCAGGCATGATAAAGCATGTCTGTAATCACAGAAGAGGCAGCTGTATCTCTGTGAGTTTGAGGCCAGCATGGTCTACAGAGAAAGTTCCAGGACAGCCAAAGCTACACAGAGAAACCTTGTCTCAAAAATTAAAGGGAAAAAATTCTTGAAGAAATGAATTTATTGGGCCAAAAGAGTCACAGCTACCCAGTGATACTATTTAGTTTTCCTGCAGAGGAGTCAGGAGAAGTGGTGTGAATTATTCTCTGAATCATCCTGGTATGGCTGATCATCTCTAACTCTGCCTATCCTCAGATGTGATCACAGCTTCTCTTAAACTCTGAGTGCCTGGGGCAGACCTGTGGTCTCACAGTCTGGAAGGCTAATGAGGCATGAGAATCCCAAATTTTAGGTCAGGCTGGGATGTATAGTAAGACACTATCTCAAGAGAAAAATGCTGTTCTCCTGTCACCCAGGAGCCCATTTCTATATTCACACTATTTTCTGAAGTTCTTTTTGTCTACTACCCTTTCAAAATGATTGATATTAAACTACTTAGGGCTGTACCTAGAGGACACAGTGTTTATTGCTGTTTTGTTTGTAATTAAAGTGTGTGCTACACCTGGATAGTAATTAATGTTAGTGCTTGCCTTTATTCTGTATAGATATTGGTGCTAATATCTAATCAAATCTATTCTTCTCTTAATCAGTTTCCTTCCTGACTTGATAGCTTCAATTTTGTCATTCTCAGACATTAAAAAAATTAAACCTTACCCATGTTTACTTCTGTCTAATTTGTGATTTTTAAGAAATAGATGGGAGCACAGAATAGCAGTTAAAAGAACTGACTGGCACACACAAATGTGGATTTAAATACCCTATAATTTCAAATTGGGTGAGCATATTTGCTCATAGATGATGGTTGGGTATAATTTCTCCCTGTTCCTGTGAGAGAATTACAGGGCTAATATATGAAATGCTAGGTGCAGAATACCGTGGGGGCCTGGATTATTAAAGTTGTATTATAAGATAATCCATTTGAAAATGATTCATTTTTATTGTATTTGATTGTATGAATATATGTGTTGGGGGTGTCTGCACCCAAGGGCAGTTCCCACTGAAGCCATGGGCCTCAGTTCCCCTGGGAGCTGCAGTTCAGAGATTTTTGAGCTGCCCATTGTGGGTGCTATGAACTGAACTCTGAAATAGCAGAACAAGCTTTTAACCTCCAAGCCATTTCTCCAGACCCTAATTCACCACTTTCATCCCTCATATTTAGATTTTTTTTCATTCATCTAGAAGAGATAAACATTTCTATGTTAAGCTAGAAGCATCTTTCTTTAAATTGTTAATTGTCTGAGAGTTTCATACATTTATGTAATGAATTTTGTCATTTTCATTGAAACATCTTACTATTGGTAAAATTCTTTCTTGCCACATGGACCGGCAGGGCCCCCACACATTTCAGAAAAGAATCTCAGCTCCTGACTTCCACACCAGTGGGCTTTGCAGGCTTCTTTTATGCCCTCCCAATTTACCTTGTCACACACAATTCTCTACTTTCCTCAGTGGAATTAGCTCTTTGTCACTCTTGTGTGTGAGCAGGCATCACTTTGTTTTATTTGTTTTCTTCCTGGAATCTTCCATTTCCTCCCTTGAACTTGCTGAAATCATTTTAAGAGGCCCACATCAAGATATGCTCACTGGCTTTCTCCATGAAGCAATTTAGATATCCCTTTTTAGATCTAACTTGCAATGTATTTTCTGGATTGGAAAGTGAAACACATTATAATAATCTTATCTTATACATAGTTTTAAAAGTTTCAGAGTCTTCACAGAAAATCAGTTTATATTCTGAAAATGTTTATAATAAAGTATTTTAACTTAAAAAAAAGAATAGTCTTCCTGGTGGACTACTCAGTGCTTCTCCTCCTAGGCCAAGTTAACAGCTCCTTCCTTTGTCTCCAGGAGTATTCACAATGTTCTAGTGCTTAGAATTCAAGGGACATCACTGCCTCCCACTAGATCTCAGAAAGCTTGTTGGAAATCTTATGCTTGTCAGTCTTACCTCCCCAGTGTCAAACTAGAATGGAAACACACTTAATGGCAGCCACACTGTAGTGATATATTGCTTATGATTTATTAAAGCCATTGAAGATCAAAATAGCAAGGCAGCCATGCTAGTTAACCATTGAAGCCAGGCAGTGGTTGCACACACCTTTAATCCTAAGATTCTGGGAAACAAAAGCAGACAGATCTCTGTGAGTTCATGGCCACACAGGGCTAGGAGCCTGAATCAGTCTAAAAGAGCAACAGAGCTCCCACCTTTAATCTCAGCACTAGAGAGGTATAAAAGATAGGAACAGGGTCTTCGGTAGTCAGTCTAAGAGTCTTCAGCCACAATGAGGAGAGCATAGAAGTCTGAGTGAATCTGAGGAGCAGTGAAGTTGGGAACAGTCTGAGGATCACCCCTTTGGTCTAATATGAGATAGAGGTAAGATCTACTGGCATGGGTACTTTGCTTTTCTGATCTTCAGCTTGAAGCTTGACCCCCAATATCAGTCACTGGGCCTTTTATTTATCTTGCTACAGTACACCAAACACAGCATTCATGGTGTTGGTAATAATTCTTCCAAATTGAAAAATCTCCTCCAGGACTGTGAGTAAAGCTCATGGGACTCAGGAAGGAAACAACTCACAAGTCACAGGAAATTCATGAAACAAACAGATTCACAAGATCCTTCTCCCAAGTTATGGAAGCGGTAATAGCTGCTGTGAAAGAGAACAACAGCCAAGGGACATGGAGGAGACTCTGTGATGTGTTGAGTTGCCTGTAAGTCATTCAAGGAGCTCCACAGTAGGTGGCTTTTCAGTGATCCAGCTGTCTTGGAGTCACTTGTGCTCTGTAAGTGGTATATTCCTTGGTCCACCATGTTGGACTTAATGAAACCATTATGTTGTGCTCTTGTTGGTTCTGTATCTGGGACAAGCAAATGTTCATTCATTCATGCATCCTCAGGAAAATCCACGCAACTCTATCTCTTTTCCTATCCCTCTGCCACCTATCTTTCATAATAAATCTATATAATTTTCTCTACATAACTTGGCTCACTACATATGAAACTTTGGGATATTATGGTTGATTGCATCAGAAAAGCTGTAGAAAGCCAAGGACTTAACATTTTCAATAAATGTTGTACTAGATGAAATCCTTGAGTCATGGTGAGCTTTCATACATAGACTAAAAAGTGGCAAGTTGTGGTGGCACTGTGGACTGGCTACCTTGTGTTCTGATGGCTGCATCCTTCTATTTCTGCACACTGAGCTCTTTTGGAAACTCTGCTCTCTGGAAAATCCAGCTGCATTAACATTGGATGTAAAAATTATGGGGCTATGGAGAGTTGTGCCAAGGCTTGAGAAAGCCACTGAGACCAGAGAACTTGTGACAGAATGTCCGAGACCTTGCATGGAACTCCTGTGCAGGAAGCTGTGAAGGTGAAGCCCAAGTTGAATTGCAGATATTGAAGTCCCAGGAGCATGAGATGTCTACTGGAGAAAGCTGCATTGGAGCTAGCCCAAGAGAGAGGCCACACAAAGGTTAAAGGGCAAGGCTATAGATGTTATGGTAGAAAGCCTCAGATTTGGAGTTTGGTATATGCCCCTTTGAGTTTAGTCTCATCTTTCCTTTCTGCACTTTTAAGATTCTTCCATGAATCTCAAAAGAGGCAGCAGGCTTTAAGCAGTGTGGGAATCTAGGTTTATGAGGGTGTTTGAGGGTGGACTGAATGGCCAAGGGTGGGAGGTTACAAGCTTTGTTAAAACACAGACTGCTGGATGCCATCCTTGAGTCCTTCTATCTTTGTATTTCTAAAACGTTTGCAGGCACTGTCAGTGCCACAGACCCAGGGTCCCTGCTCTGAGACCCACTAAGAAGGGCTGAGTTTGGTGGGTTTATTTCTGTGGTTTGCTTCTACATCTTTAAGCAAGGCCTATTGCTTCATAGTTAGTGCAGAGTTTCAGGTGCAATCACACTTATAAAAGTCAGTCCTATACCTGAGATCACTTCCTCTCATTCCCTCTGAGGAAGTGGAACAGGGTTACACACATCGATCCTTCCTTTCCCCTTCTCCTTCAGTTCTAGACATTTCTACTAAACTGCTCATGTGTGAGTGTGTTGAAGGTTAAGAGTGCATGCTTCAGTGCTCGATTTGGCAGCACATATTCTAAAATTAGACTGATACAGAGAAGATTAACATGGCCCCTGCACAAGAGTGCATGCCTCAGAACCCAGAGCCAAAAAAAGGAATGACATACCTCAGATACTGAGCCCATTGGCCACTGCCAATGGCCTTTCTAGCCCAGACTGCCTGGTTGCAGTTTCAAATATTCCTTGTTCAAACACAGGCCTCCATTTCAAAGCAGGTCTGTGGCCCTGGCTGCTTTCGGCTTTATCTCCTCACGTGGCAGCCATCATGCTTAAGACCTTCCTCAGTCTGATGCTATCCCACCTCCCCCATCAAAGGCACAAAGGGACCCTGTCTCGGCTTTATTAGCAGCCTGTCAGCAGGCCTGTGCTTGGGAAAGCTTGGAGTTCGGCTCCACCAATCCCCCCACCCACCCAGCCAGGAATCTGACCATTAACAAAATGAATCGCACAAAAAGAGCTGGAACAATCTATGATGAGAGATTTCTCTTAATTTTAAGTGGATTCATTACGTGAATCAAAGACGAAATTGTGCAAATGGTTTCCTTTAATGTTAAAAGAAAATTCCAGTTTTGCTGGAGGACTCTGCCATCTAGATTATTGGATGGGGTGTCTATCTTTGACTTGTTTGCTCTTGACAATGAGGGGCTGTGTTCATGTGGACTTCACTTAGGTCGCAAGGTTGAGTCTGGAGTCATGACCAGGCACTGAGAGCCCTTGCCCCTCCATAATGTAAACCCACCAAAGGCCTGCTAGATCGGTAGCACTGGCTGGCATGGCATCTACCAGACTTCCCCAAGAGAAGCAAGAAAGTCAAGAGAAAGCCCTTTACTATCCTGGCACAGCACCTTGGAAATTTCTGGAAGCCAGGTGGGCTCTGTCTGCCACTTCTGGAGAGCTATTTCACTCCATGCTTGAAAAACTTAATTACTCCCAATTGGTTTCACTTTCTGAAAGCTTTTCTCCTCTGGTTTCTGGCAATCCTATCCCCACTCAGCAGCCGGGCAGGGGGCTGAATAAGTCTGGGATGTTGTCAGTGACAGATGAGGGGTTTCTGTGCCACTGACTGCACACCCTTCACTTTGACGCGCCGTTTCTTTCCATCAAAGAGGAAAACAAACCATGGAGAACACGAAGAGAAAAACCCTTTGTAGCTCATCTGACATGAGATGGGTCACCCGGGCCCCCGTCAGAGGCATGAGTAGTAGAAAATGAGACCAGGGAATTGGGATCACGTAAACCTTTGTGTCCACAACTGTGTAGCCAAGGCTTACCAGAGGAATTGTGGGTTGTGCGGCACCCACGTGAAAGCGATCTGCTTCATGTGGAAGAATGGGTTCTGCTCCCGTACGGTCAATACATCAGTCTGCACCACTCTCTCTGCTCAATTAGACAATAATAATCTTCTTCCTGACTGAGTGAGACGTGTGTGGCTCTGCCCCATGTCTCAAGTTATGCTCAGATGCTTCCGTGTCAATCAGGAGTTCAAACTCTCCTCTACACCCTTTCCAAAATGAGTCCCCGCTCCCCTCTAGGAGCTGGTACTCTCATCTACCTGGGCTACTTCACCAATTACAAGGCTCGAGTTCTTTTGGGCATTGTTGGAATAACATCCTCATCTTTTTCTCTCCCGCTGAAGTCTGATTTACTCTCCCTGACCCAGCTCCACAGACACAGCATGTTGGAGTCAAAGATGAAACAGCGAGAGGGGGAGGGTGAAGCAACAGGCAGCGAAGAACAGGTCCTCGGCTCTGTTTCCGGAGCCTCTGTGCCAGCATCATAGACCTATACCCCCGCCCCCTTTACTCTGCCACAAATCCAGGACCAGTTCTTAAAGTATAGCACAGATAAAAGTCTCCAGCAGCATCGGTGTGTAGGTCTGTGCCCTCCCATCCCAGTCAGTTACAAGGTTTTGATCCAGATTCTCAAACGCACAGCAGAGTGTCAACAGACAGGGAAACAGGAGGAAGACATGCAGCTAAAATCTCCTCTTTCCCCAGGATTGTGTCTCATTCTCTTTCCCAGGTGATTTCTTTTTCTTTCTTTCTTTATTTCTATAAAAGGGAAACAGCAGCAGCAGCATTTTTTTTTTTATCAAATTCTGCATAGATACAGACAACACTGTTTTCTCTGGGTAGAGAGAGGGAGAGAGAAAGGAAAAAGGAGAGAGAGAAAGACTTGGTGCTGTCTGAGCATCCCAGTACTACTCTGAGAGAATCCACATCTTTAGAGCTACCCTGGCACCCAGAGTTCCACCCCCAGGACCACATAATAAACCCAGGCTCAACGGTGTATGCTGTAGTCTTAGCCTTGGGGAGGCACAGATAGCCTACCCTCCTCTGGCAAGTTCAAAGCCAATGAGAGGCCTTGTCTCAAAAGCCAGGATGGATGCCACCTGAGAACAGCAGCAGCAGTAGCAACAACAACAACATCACACACACACACACACACACACACACACACACACACACACACACACACTACATAGAGATCCAGGACTACAGGCCCAAACCTAGGTCTCCCATTCAAATCCAGCTTGTCCTTTGAAATCCGTCCATCTCTTTTCCTCCTATCCACTTTGAGCAGGTTCCTTTTCGTTTATTAATAGAACAGGGCATCAGTATGAATACCACATTTTCATGTGATGTCTAACAGGAGAAAAAGCAAGAGGGTCACTGGCTCAGCCATATGGTGGCTGGGACACATGCTCCCCCAGGCGACACACGACAGGCAACACAAGAGCTGATTGCCAACGATCATGACTAACAGATTCAGGAAGGACGTGTGCATGCCTCTTTGCCATTTACAGAGGCCTAAGTGAAAAGTGACTCTGAATCATCAGGGGAAATTAATGGCATTTAAATCAATTCTTCTAAGATGTGAGCCAGGCATTCCTGGATGGCGGCTGGGGCTTTTGTGCCCCACAATAATTAGCCTGTAAACTTCTCTGATGAGGCCACAAATAGCTCACATGAATACGGTCTCAGTTCAATTTGGAACGAAATTACCACTTGCAGTCTGCTGGCTTCCGCCTGACACTGGCCTGTAGACAAGTGTCTTTGTTCACTGATCTATGTATTTGCTCATTCACTTGCTCTTCCGATCATGTGTTCACATAACGGGTCACACAGTGCACCTCACTAAGCCAAACCTTTCTTTGCTTGATAGGGATGAGATAGGACAGGGACAAGTCCATGATGGGCTCAAGCTGCATGGATGTTGTCAGATGAGTAGCACTGCGCTGCTGAGGGGCTAGGTGAGGCAGAGTTGCTGCATTACCTTCTTTGTGCTGTTTTGCCTTTTGAAAATAAAAGGAAATATTGAGGGTGAGTCAGTCAGTCCCATTTTGCCTTTAAAAAGTAGAATTTCGCTACCTGTCTTGATGAACTGCTGTAAGACAATTAGGGTACATATAATAATAACCAAATAACCTTATTTAAAAACAAGAATATTATACAACATGTAATGTCCTCACAGTCCAATGCTTTGTTCTTGTTTACAGCATTTTTCTAAGTCTTGTTTGTTCATTTATTTATCTGTTACCTATCAGGTTTGTGTGTGTGTGTGTGTGTGAGAGAGAGAGAGAGAGAGAGACAGAGAGACAGACAGACAGACAGACAGAGACACACACACACAGAGAGAGTTTATAGGCACTGTGTGTGTAGTGACAGGGGAGGGCAGATGAGGGCAGCAAATCCCCTGGAACTGAAGCTATAGACAGTTATGAGCTGCCCAATGTGGGTGCTGGGAATAGAACCAGGACTTTTGGAAGAGCAGAAAGTGCTGTTAGCTGCTGAGCCATCTCTCCAGCCCCACCTTTCAGAATTTTTAATTCTAAGTTTTCTAGAGTAGAGATTTGGGAGAAATTTTCAATAAAATGATTTTAAAACGTATTATTGAAAAATAGTGACATGGTATCTAGCTGCCTGCTTGTCCTGTTGTGCACGTGGCAATAGCTTTGCTCTCTCTTATAGCTCAGTTGTGTCTAAGAGCATCAGTTCAGGTTTCTACCCTGCTGTGCACACTTGTAGAAGTATTGTGTATAAATAAGAATGTGTTTGTCTGGGGGGGGGGTGTCAGTGGTTAGAGCACTTACCACTCTTCCAGAATTGTGTCCCCAGCATTGTTGCCTGGTGCCTCACAACTGCCAGTATCTCTGGTTCTAGGGAATCCAGTGCCCTCTTGTGGCCTCTGCAGGCATTGTACCACACGTGACATACATTCACATTGATATGCATAAACATAAATAATCCCACAAACAAAGTGTGGGATGAACTTAGAGTATAACACGAGGGTAGAGTGCCAACCTATCCTGCATGCCTCAAGTCCTGGGTTAGATTTCAGCACTGCTGAAACATGGTGATGTTTGCCTGTGATCCTCAGGAGGTGGAGGCCGAGGGGTCAGGAGTTCAAGGTCATTCTTGGTTACATGGCGTGTTTGAGGCCAGCTTGGGCTCTATGAGACCTTGAGTTTGTTTGTTTGTTTGTTCTGTTTATGGGGAAAGCATGTGGCTCCTGCAGCCTGTGCTCCCTGAAGCCTGTACTCCCTACAGCCTATGTCTCCCACAGCCATGCTCCCTGCAGCCTGCACTGTGTGTGGTCCTGGTGGAGCTTGGAGGCAGGTCAGAGGCCTGTAGAGAACAGCACACACTTCAGGGACCGAATCACATGGCCCAGCAACTGAGTCTAGATGTTTCAGCAAGTCATCACACCCTCACCTTCTCTCAGTGACAATTGGCAGTTGGGGAGGTCACTATAGTGGGAAGCAGAACCAGGCCTTCTGAGTCCACCCCTCCAGCCCCACAGGAGAAGCTGACAGCAGGAAGATGGACACTGCATTTCCACTCCTGTGAAAACCAGAACTGATGCACACATTCCTTAGTTTTTATTCTCCCTTTCCAACTACTTTAATTGGTTGTGATTTGATAATGTGGCAGAATATTGGTCACTTTGTTTTTATGAACTGATTTCAGGAGGAACATGGCTTAGTTTCCAGTTCAGTATTTAAGTCCTAAGAATCCAAGAATAATAAAGTAGTCCGTCACACACAAAACAAAACCACTAAACTAGGACCAATCATTTCATATCCTTGGAGAAATACATA